AGTTCCAGTTATTACTATGTCCCGTTAGAAACCAATGTTCAGCAATTCTTGAAAAGCCTTGTCGAACAAAAGCTCTCTTATGTTCATCTTCTCGTTTAGAGATTCCACGACTAGTCTGACCAATGTATATTCCATTGCAATCATTACAATCATATCCATATACGACTCTCTTTAAATCTGTACTTTTTGCTTGAAATGTTGACCTGAACATATTCGGCAAACGGTTATTCGATTTAAAGGAGAAAGTTACTTCTTTCAAGGGGTGTTTAACTGATCATGTCATGGTTGACTAATAATATCGGTGGACATACGAAAAGAGCTGTGACAACAGGTTTTGTTATTGGTTTTGGAAATATTAGTGGCATCGTGGTCGGTCATGTAAGTCATGGAAGGAAATAATATCCGAGAATGAATTTTTTTTCTGAATCTGAGAAAATTTCTGGCTTAGGTCATTTCTAGATATGTCATAGGCTATGTACTGAGCATTTCGTATCTAACGTATCAGTCCGTTTCGTGTACTGAAGTTTGAGCATGCAAAGAGTAGATGATGATCATCATTATGATTCGTCGATGGTAACAAAGACTAGGTTACCGTAGCTGATAACTGGCGAAAGTTTCACTTGTTGATCATAAGAGATAGTCTAGCTGTCACTATACAAGATTTCTGGTTCAATCAAGAAATTATTCGACAATACGAGGAAAAAGTTTGGATATCTCCTCTCTCAATCCCTTCATATCTGAGTAAAGTGTGTCTTGTATGCTTTTCAATGCCGACGGTTTTCTTTCGAAGGATGGTACATTTTCAAAATAACCGCATTTCTAAGTTAAATAATAGCAGTTTCATAAATATTCTATATTGCGAAATAGAAGTATTTTGTTTGACTAAAACGTTTATCGCATTTAAAGGATTTAAAATATTTCTGACAAATAGTACTTAAAAGTCGATTATATTAGGACATATTTTTAAAAAACTGTCAGATGACAATATTTTTACCTGAGCACTACAACTGACTTCGAATTCGTATATTAAGGCCCCCTCAGAAATGGGAATTTTCGATCAAAAAAATCGGTTTTGAGATACGCACATGGAAAGATAGCCTGAAGTGTGTACTTCCAGAACCTGTATTACTTTTGGTTACAAAACTGGTTTTTCGGGGATTTTGAGCAAGTTTTCGAAGAGCCTCGAAAACTCAGGTCTTCAAATAATAGTGTTTTCCTGGATACTGATGGAATTAAAATTTTTCTGAACATCCAGCTTTGTAGAGCAAACGTTTCTGATTAAAATAAAACCCTGCACAACTCTGTATGATCTTGCATCAAAAAGTTACAGGCATTTTCCTACAAGTCCTAAAATCGAGTTTCAAACAGCGTTTAATACACCTTTTTCTCTATATAAGAGTTACACCTGAAGTGCGCCCCACGATTTTTAATAGCGGTTTGTCGTAGAGAATTCATTCTTTTTTTGTTTAGAAGAGGAAAAGAAACTACATGGACTGATCGGCGTCGATTTTTTGAATTAGGTCTTAGTTTTTTGTCGAACTGATGATTTTTAGAAAATCCAGAAGGCTTTTCCGAATTTTGGAGATTGTTGGTTGTCTGGAAAACCAATAAAGGCTTAATCGAAAATCGGCGCCGGTCAGTCAATGTAGTTAGGTATCGAGTTTAAAATAAAACAAACCCGAACTCTCCAGCTTGAAGTATATTAAAAAATCTTGGGACGCACTTCAGAGTCCTTTTTGGACCTTGATCTCTGGAAACTCCTAAACCGTAAGACTTGGAGACAAAAAAATTTTTTCATTCCAGTAACTCATTGTGCCTAACATTTATGGAAAGTTTCGTCAAGATCGAATGTACGGTATCGGAGATAAATTCGGCGGGCCCTTAATCAAACATTCGCAATAGTACGACTTTGAGTATGATACATCGAAGGAAAATAAGCAGGAGTTCATACTCTCAAATTGGTCTAAGTCAAAATAGAATCTTTTTGATGGTCTATAACATAGCTAAATCATTTTGATATTTAATTGATATTGTATATCTAAATTTGATTGATACTTTAGATTTATCGTGCCGAAGATGCACCGTTCTTCATTAATGGTCATTTGATTAGTCTCAGTTTTATGTGTTCCATATTAATTGTTTCCTTAATATTAAAATTTAGTTTATTACGAGGAAATCGACGACGAGAAAATTTACCATCAGAAGAACATAAACAAGAAATAGAGCGATGTGCACAAGAACCCTGTGATTCAGTAAGATAGAAGAAAAAAAAATAGATCTTATTTTATTTTTATTTCTCCTTAGCATCTTGATTTTAAATACACCACATGACAACGACTAACAATACTGAATAGATATTATATTAGTGAACATGAAGAGGAAAGGGTATATTTATGTAAAACAATAGAGCAGGATTTCACGTGAATGTGCAGTATAAAACATCGGTTGAATTTTTTTGTACAAAGCAGACATGTTTTCAGGATGAAAAAGATTAATATTTTCATTTTGGATGTCATGTTTATTTTACTACTTCTAAGTAGTAAAATATACTCTTGGAAAAATAAATAAGTGTCTGTTTTGACGATCAATAAGGCGATTTTATTATTGCAATAGAAAATTTGAAACAGCTGGACAAGAACAAAAGCTAACCATGAGTCTTTATACAGTACGTGAACACTTAGAAATACGAGTAAAGTTCATCTAAATCTGTACGTATATATAATTCGATGAGTTTTACTCTACAAACACTCGTATATATCAATTATTTAATAAAATTTCTCTCGCGGAGTATCAATTTTGAATAGCATGTCTGTAAGCTCTACATACTCTATTTACAGAGTATATTCAGATTGACATATGCATATATTGACATAATATTCAGTATTTTCTTTCGAACCTTCTCGCTTCACCATCAGCCAGTTTTTATTCTTAATGAGAGAAAAAACGTTTTTTCTCTCATTAAGAATAAAATCTGGCTGTTGATGCAGCGCGAAACTTTAAAAGCTCTTTAAAATTGTCTATTCAATTATCTCAATATTAAAAATATTGTGTCAAACCATCTGAATAATCGGATATTGAAATGGTGGAAGAAGTTTATTCTCTACATCTCTAATCAATAATAGGACGCAAATGAAATAGATAGAAATATATGTTCGAAAAACAGATTTTTCGACAGTTTAACTTGCATCGGAATTTGTAGGATGACCGATGCCGACACTTATCCGATCGGCTCGTAAGTGTTTTTAGATGTCTTCTTAGGTCACCAAAATTGGTACGTATATTTTGTCCAGCTTAGGATTAGACCGATTCCAAAATAACGTGCAAATGTGAGTTTTTTCATAGATACGATCCATGATTTATTTGACTGCCAATATATCTTTTGATTTCCTCTGAATATGAAACAATCATGAAGTTTTCAATAGACCGTGTTTTCCATACGTCTCAGATTCGTTCCATACGTTGTCAGATGAACTGTGTCGTAGTTTCATGATTTTCCATGATGCCAATTCATTATCTACGAGGTGTAAATTATTAAATGATTCACAAGTAGAAACATTAACAACATATTTAGTACTGGTGATAATACTATTACTCCAATACACTGCTGGAAACCGAAGAGCTTTCTCTGTCGAGTGAGACAACAGATTTCGTGGCTTGTCAAGCATAATTTCGGCCAACTTTATATCTACAAGAGCAAGTTGATTTTAGCACGAATTTCTAACACCGTTTCAGTGAAAAAGACACTCATGTCTTCGTTTTCTACAAGTCTGAAGTGAGACATGTCCCTCTGCACAGAAAAACTGCTGTTACAGCTGCTTTTCCCTTATTTGTTATGTCGTAACTCAAATAACGAATGTCATTTCTGTTGAATCATGACGAAGGAAAAGAAAAACAGAAAGGAGTGATGTCATCATAGTTACACTTGAATGACGCTGACAAAAACATCGCGTCTATTCAATCCGCTGTTGCAACTGATAGCAGAACGAATACAAACGTCGATTTGATATCCTAAAAAGGAATGCAGCATGATTTATCCGACCGACTGCTTACTATTTCTGGCAACGATGAATGTTTGAAGCAAGCACAGAACGGTAAGTTGATCATGTGTTCTTCAACCACATTTATTGTAGCATACACCAAATCGGATGAGTGTAATATCTTGAGAATAGGGGAGAGAGAGATAACATCCATGGTTATGCGCACAGTAAAATGCTAATGGCTGGCTATCCATATTAGGCTGAGAGGATAGAACTGGGACTCATACTCAAAAGAACAATCATTGGATGTAACACTACTAGTCAAATTCGAGAGGGAGTAATGCACCTTGCCATTCTCCCCACTTTATGCTTCAGCGCCTCTCTTCATATGAGAGAGACCAAGCATCTAAACTCTTGACAATGCACATTTCTTCAGATGTGACACAATTTCAATGGCTTGCGAACGAAGTTATTCTTGAAATCTTCGAGTATTTGCACGCTTACGATATTCTTCACTCATTCCTTCGACTAAACGATCGTTTCGATGGATTACTCGGCAGTCTACAGTTTGATCTGAAGTTTCATCCCATCAGCAAATCTACATGTGACTTTATCTGTGAACACTTTCCATCAACGGCACAAATTCGGTCTCTGTGTCTGTGTACACAGACCTCCTATTATTTTGATTTGTTCTTCAGCCAGCTTCCCAAATACGCATTGGTAAATCTTCGCTCCTTATTGCTGCTCGCCGTCAAACCAGAACAAGTGATCGAAGTCGTGATGCCACAGTTCTCGTGTATGATACAACTATCGTCGTTCACACTGCGCATGCAATTAAGCGACTTCGATGACACAACGGCTCAGAATGCTTCAAGACAAGTCACTGCCGTCGTTGCAAACGAGTTGAAAGTAAACAAGACTCTCATTCAACTTGAACTTGCATGGAACAAAATATCCGATAGAGGAGGTGAAGCACTAGCAGAAGCACTGAAATTAAACAAGACTCTTACTCAACTTGATCTTAGAGGAAACCAAATATCCGAGAGAGGAGGTGAAGCACTAGCAGAAGCACTAAAAGTAAACAAGACTCTTACTCAGCTTGATTTTAGTCACAATCAAATATCCGCTAGAGGAGGTGAAGCACTAGCAGAAGCACTGAAAGTAAACAAGACTCTTATTAAACTTGTTCTTAGACACAATCAAATATCCGCTAGAGGAGGTGATGCACTAGCAGAAGCACTGAAATTAAACAAGACTCTTACTCAACTTGATCTTAGCGGAAACCAAATATTCAATAGAGCAGGCAAAGCGCTGGGAATAGCGGTGCTAGAAGATGGAAGAATCGTTCTGTAGAATCCTGTTCTTTTGTGTGTGTGGTTGTGGTCAGCGTTTCTTGAATTGTTCAACATGAGTTCTAGAGCTTAAAACATAATGCAGCCATACGAACTGGAATGAACTCCTTATATTCCTCTTTTTTCGTCTTCTCTCTTACAGTTTAAAAAGGAGACAAGCACGATTTCTTGACACTTTAATTGTGCGAGATTCTTTTTCTTTCGTATGCCTGTCACATATCTTCGCCTATTTTCTCTCTGAAATTGACGTAATAATTCACACTTTTTATCGTACATCTCATTCAACTGTATGTGATGTACTAAGGTCGGCTTGTAACACAGTTCAAGGAGAGAATGTTTGGTAAAAATTCTGCAAAGTTCAAAAATTAAGGCTTTCCATCTGTTTTCACCTATTATTAAAAAATTTCCAATTCACTCAAAGAACATCAGAACGAGTTCAGAACTTCAAGATGTAATTCATGCTTTCATTCTCTCCCATTAGCGGTCCACGATGCCGATTAATATTAATCTTTTCGCCACGGTCATCGTACAATGTGTGTTGACATCCTGTACCATTCAGTTAAGTATTTTCTGCTTACGAAAATATGCTTCTAAGTCTTGGTTGTCGAATAGCAAAAACCGCGAGTCTTCATCTACTTTAGTTCAACAATTCTTCAGAGGATGACCATTAGTCTTATATTCTGGAACAGATAGTAGTTTACGTATAAAAATCAGTATCTTTCACTCTTTTCTCTTCCTCGTATAATGGTAGTTAAATTAAGTAAGGCTTACAGCAGTCATATTTGTAACCCACGGCTGCAACTAGAAGCCAAACATTTGAGGGATGTAAAATAAAATTTCTCTAGAATTTTTAATAATTTATGTTGGGCGCTGTATGAGCAAAATAAAAAGATTCATAACTTTTCCAAGAAACAATAAGAATCCACATCCTTTTAGGACTGTTACTAGGACACTTTATCTACAGACAAAGATCATTGAAGTGGCCGTTGGACATCTGGAGAGATTCCCTCGTTAGTATTATTATGCAATTTGTGTCTCGATAGCCGTTTTTTGTCTTTTGAAGAAAGAGCATTTATCAGATAAATGATATTTTCTTAGCTTAATCAGGAAAGATTAGAAACCATGGGATAATATCAAAACATAATAATAGTGACTAAGTCTAGCAATTTATCATTCTTTTATTTTCAGACCGCTACAGTAACTGAATGAACAGTCGGTTAACCGTCGGTAATTTTTGGTTATTTATAACCGCCAAATGCATATATGTAACTCGAGAAATCGCAGGACACAACACAGATAATCAGAAGAAGAAACATGTGGCATACTTCATCCACTAGGGAGTAAACGCCCGATATTAAATTCGTTCGTTATGTCAAGATGTAGATTTATGTATGCTTTTTTCTGGTTCTAGTGGTTTTAGTTTTTTGATTGGCGGTTGACCGAAATCAGTACCCACGTTAATCTTTCAAAGCCAATTTTGTAGGCATACAATAGATGGCGATTTTCTCCATGAAAACGTACGATTTCACAATTTTCAACATCAGATTCGTAATCAGGATAAAATTCTGGTCCAGAAAAACTTTTTCCCCAATTTTTTTGAAGAAAAAAATTTTCCGACTACCCTGGTCCCCCACTTGCCCTAAAATTTTTCGAAAAAGTGAAGCGACAGTTTTGTTCAGAATTCGACGCTGATTCCAAAAATGTATAATTCATTGTATTTTGTTGGGGGACGCAAAGTGGCCTTATCGGCCCACGTCCTTTTATTAAATCCGAGAGAAAAAAGGAAGACTGATAGTAAGAAACGCTACAATTACTTGTATAGAAATCATTATGCTCTCGCGGGGCATAAAAGTAGATTGTTAACTCTTTTTTGTAGTAGGCAACATTGTTACATCAGCAGCTTGAACTTTTGTGATCCGTATCCGACATGTCCGAAATGCTGTTGATTGTCTCCTGTGAAATCCCATCGCGTTTAATTCTCCCTTTGTTTTTGGATTTATCTAATAAACTGAATTTTTAAACTATGGCTAATAATGATTTAAGTGGCGAGCCAAACATTCTGGAATATTCCAGCTAAGTACACATCCACCTGTTACGATTGCAACCGACCGATTGCCGGTTAACCGCTAACAGTGCACGCGTATTTCTGTACATACGTTTCTTCCAGCATCACCTTTTTTCACTAAATATCCACTGTGAAAGATTCATGTACCATTTGATAACAGGACATTGAACAGTTTTCTAATACTTTCTTGTGTAATATTCAGTGTAGAACCCGTAAGATTTCTATTAATGAAACTAATTAAATCTACCAAGATCGCTCCGAAATGGCTAAAATATCTTGACAAAATATCTTGTCTAGAGTCTTCGGAAAACTTCGGAACTCGACTGTACTAGATACTTGCATTTTCCAGCACTTTTTGCATAAATCCGATTTTTAATTCTTGTATATCTTTGTGAAAAAAATCGTAGATTAAAAGATTTTTCACAGTTGAGCAGCCCACACTTTAAACTATAAATGGGACTATTCGACTCACGAAAAATAGAACTTTCGATTTTTAACGAAATGTCCGTCTTAATGCCTACTGTGTGGCCCCACCTGTCTGGATATTGTGACCAGCTAAAGGAAGGAATATTCAAAATTGAATATCTGAAAATTTAGGATTTGGCATAAAGATGCATCGAGACGGAATACTCGATACTCGAAACTTTAGTCTCGAGTCTCGAAAGTTTCGATCTCGTATAGACACTGCCATAGTACAAATACGAGCATCGTAGTTTCATATTTTCCCCATCTAAAAACAAAGAGTGCAATGTTGAATTGGAACTCACCCTTATGCTAGTATATAAAACTGCCAGTATCAAAACTTTCCGAGACTGATAACTTTCTCATACTTTTAATCATTAAAAGTCAAAACTTCATGTAGCGTATAAAGTTAGTTGACTAAATGTTTTATTTTAATTTCTCCAGAATAATGTAGTCAAATGAAATGAAAGAGTATATCATTATCGTCTTAATTATTCGGAACAGTGTAGAATTGTTGAACATTTTAAAGTAAATAAAAAATTCAGGCTTTATATCGTATAAAAAATGCGTTCGATTTTCTGAAATGCCGCTTTTGTACAGAGGGGAACATCTTTAAGAATTTTCTACAAAAATTTCTGAAAGCTGACATTCCTTGAAACAACAGATTCCTCCTATTTTTTTCTGAAAAGTAAGACCTTATGGAGTTATCTTCAGTGCATTCAGCTTTAGTCCAGTCCATCACTATATGTAAAATGACACAAACACAGTGACAGAGGAAAAGTCTTTCTTCACCCATCTCATTAAAAGCAGAAAAAAGTTTATGTATGTGTGTGTGCACCCAGACGAAGATTAGGGTATGAGTAAGAGCCGGACAACGTCTGATCTTTAGTTCGAGTTGTTTACATGTTTATTGAATTCTTCGGATATACCACAGAATGAGATGTTCTAGCATGATTAGTTACCAAATAAAGGGATTTTGAAACGTTTAGAAGACAAATTTTACATAAACAAAAATTGAATTTTGTCAATGGTCGAATTTCTTAATGAGTGACACACCTGTGACTCAGTAATTCGTATTCGTGGTTCTTTGTATTAATTTGATGCAATATTGGCTTAAAAATGTGAGAAATCGTTTTCTTTTCCTTCCTTCCTTTTTTTGCTAGAGAAGTAAAATGACACGTCACACACGAAGGCAACGTCAGCGTTCTTTTGTCACTCTTTGTCACTGTGATTCAGTCTGTAATATATATATATATATATATATATACTTATCGATGAGAATAAGTTGTGTCAATTAATACAAAAGACATATACAAATCAATACTACAACATTTTTCAATCATCAATCACCGACGAATTAAAAACGGTAATAAACTACACAAATTTTCGTTTGTATTTTTGAAGCCATTGAAAAATCCCAAAATTTCAAAAGATAACTAAAAATTAGCTCGATTGATTCCTCTATCGAAAACTAGTTAGCATCCCAAAACAAATAAACTATGTGCGATCTTCGATAAAAAATGTAAAAGAACTGTTTCATAAACTTCTGTAGAAATCATCTGGATATAGCGGTATAATTTGTAATGAAAATTATGAATTTTAACGTCAAACACGATTGTTAACCAAAATGACTATAAAGCTAAAATCCGCATGATCCTAGTATTCAGATAGATTTAGATTCGATTCTAAGACAGCATCGGATCGAGTTTCTTAAGAAGAATGTGGTTTGAAAAATGAAAAAGCTCCAAATGTCTGATTATCTTTTTCGACAACAGAAATGAATCAAGAGTCGATATTCTTTTCTTAATTTTCAGGATAGAAAGTATATCAGTAAAGAGAGATTTATCTTAAGGGGGAAGGGGAGTCCATCCATTTAGATTTGGTTTAAACTTTTCCAGACTGTAGAGAACACTTCAAAATATATACGAAACGAAATATGAACGAAAGATTTTTCACAATTCTTTAAACTGATATTTAAATTGAAAAATACGATTTTAAAACTTTCGTAAAATTTAATTGAATAATTCAGTTTAATGAATTTTGAAAAATCATTCATTCAAATTCCAGAGGATCTGTTTCTGAACAACTTTTGTATCAACACTTTTCCTTGACAATGCTTCTTTCGAGTGAAATTTGGATCAAGGTGTTCTAAAAATACTTTTTTCTCCAAAATTCACTGGCGGATCAAAGCGATGGAACTTAGTCAAAACTTGACAGAATAAAGATACATCTTGATGTCCTCTATGGGTCAACATCAAGATATAAGTAGAAACTTCAAAATTTTATTGAAATTTTAAAGCCGAGGAAAAAATCAAGAAAAAATTTAAAAACTTATTTTCCTCAAAAACTACAAGTCCGATGGCTGAAAAAATTTCAGCATATGTATTTCAAACTGTCTTCTAATAAATGGTAAAAAAACGAGTGAGAACCCTTCTCTTAAGGCTTAACGACTAGGTCTCTCTCTCTGATACATCTTGTATCACCACGATCTTGTTATTAGCAATACGTTGTTCGTACAGACGTCGGCGAACAATTAAATTGTTCACTTGCCGAATTCGTTCACATGTATAAGGACTATTTGTTTCAATCGAATCTATTTTAGTAGGAAGATTCTCCTTAGTTGAGACGGCGACGGAAACGACTTTAATGAAAATTTAATCAGAGTACAGCCATCTTTACCTCGTGACACGACATTACCCAGAGCACGATCCCGACTCTTCCACAAATTTTTCATAGTGCATATTTGGGTATTTTCTGCAGTTTGTCGTGCAAGGTGGGGGTGTGGGCAGTGTGAGAGTGAATTCGAAAAGTAAAATATATTTTCATGATGCGAAACTATATATCTGTAACTGTATCACTCAATGACTGTCCAACAGATAACTTCACTCAGGTTTCATGTCTTTCGCGGTAATGTCGTTTGCGGAAATGTCGGTGTCATCACCTACACCCGTTAATGTAGATCATTTTTGGCAGAAATCGAGTTGTTCTTCAAAACAGAAGTGCATGACGGTTTTCTCTTCTGTGGAAGGTGGTAGCACGATACTTTACACGTATTCCGCTATAAAAACTTGCTGTTTGAACAGAAAAGCTCGCGTCAAGGTTATTTTAATCAATCGTGTCTTTTTCTCCTTCAAATCGACCACTGTACTATAGTAGAGAGCTACATCTTTCTATTTTAAGGATATTAAACATTGTTAAAACGCAGCAATTGAAAAGAAAAAGAATACAAATGAATTTCTTTTTCACTTCTTCAGAAATTTTTTTCCAAACTTGTAGTGTGTTTCTTTGTTAAAACTGGAAAAAATTCTTATTCTAAAATTCGTATTAATACGATTATATTATTTTTAGAATGAAACATGGAAGAAAAATACGTCTCGACTGGGACCCGAATCTAGGATTGTCTGGTAATAGGCCGTAAACTCTAACCACTGAGATACCGAAGCACTGTCTAATAGCATTAATCCTCCATTTTATATGATCGATCCATAGTGGAAACATTCTCTTAAACACTAAGACCCCAACTCACTTGTATCCTTCTTGTTAAGAATTAGAAGTACTGAAAAATGATCATTGACTGCCTTACCGTATATTTCCAGAATCAATAAAATACTACAGTAGTATAAAAAACGTCTGTTCTTTTATAGATTCTATCAATGAGTAAATCAACAAAGAAACGTAAACAATCAAGGATTCGTCAATTGAAGAAAAAATCCCCATCGTCAAAATCAGAGCTTATCAATGAAACAGACGAAAAAGATAACAATAATGGAGTACAACAATGTCTTGTTTGTTATGAATATAAAAATTCCATTCATCATTTACCATGTTGTAATAATTATGTATGTGATTTATGTCTATTCTCCTATTTCAAGATAAATATGGACAATGAGAAATTATTTTGTATATCATGTGATCATATATTAAGTAAAAAGGAAATAATCATATATTTGAAGAATAATTTAGATTTAATTAAAAAATATAAACAACGAATCGGTTGTCCTAAATGTTATTCATGGCAAATCAAATTAGAAAAAAAATATTTATTTTTTGAATCAAATCATTCAATATGTCAATCATGTTCGTATGAATGGTGTAAACAATGTCGTTCAGCATCGCATCAAAATATGTCGTGTTATGAATATCAACAAGGTGATATATTAATAAGAAACTGGGCAAAACAAAAAGATAAACATAATGGGAATCAGTATAATGCACATCCATGTCCAAAGTGTGGTATTTATATACAACGAACAAGCGGATGTCAACATATACAATGCTCACAATGTCGATGTTCTTTTTGTTACAATTGTGGAAAACGACGTAGAACAATAATATTTCTTGGAAATCATGACAACACACTAAGTCCATTAGGTTAGTAGATAAATCATAACACTCGCATATATTTCATCCTACGACTACAGCTTTCGGATAAATTCAGACAAAATCAGCCCAGTATGGTGGTAGTAGAATTTCTTGGATACCACGGACTTTTCCACGTATTGCAAATTGAAAATAGGATATGAATATACTATGTCCTACTGCCTATAGCTTTCAAAAGTATAAATCTTAAAATCAAAGTGTTTTGCTAAAAACATCAAAGCACGCCTTTCTTTTACTTATAGCAAATGAACGAGGGCGTTTTTTTTTCGTAATAAAAACTCTTTGTTTTACCGTAATTCTTCAGTGATCAACATATCGCTTTCATAAGAAAGAATGCAATGCTTAAAAATTTTTTGGGAGAGTCTTCCAAAGCGGACTGGAGTAGAGGATTATTGAAAACTTTTCTTTCTCTAGAATAACAGTTATCTAGCACATCGATGCAGTTCTTTTGCGCTAATCCCAAACATTCTCTTTTTTTTGATAAAGACACTTTCAAGTTAGTAAAATATGAACTACTCTGAAGTGTTTTTTTTGTAAAATTCAGAGTCCAGATAGAAGGAGCATGCATCAGAGGTGTACTACATATCAACAGACATTTTAGGGTAGTCAATATTCGGTTCGAAATGGAAAACTCATCCGTGCTTTCTCCTTCTTTTTACTATTTGCATCTTTGACATCTTAATTTTAGGATGCAGTCATAATTTTTTTCCAAGCCTACCTTTATTACGCTACACCATACGATGTCTCTATGCAACAGGCCGGTTGATAATTGTTCTTCTCTCGCCAATTCTTTTACCTGCATATGGTCTCTATTGGTGTATTTGGAGAATAAAACGCCCCTGGTGGATGGTGGCTCTATCGACTGTCTGCCTAGTGTGTTGTATGTTATTTTATTATTTTTTTACGATGTTTCGTTGACCGATATGTTCTCAATCATTAGTTACAAACTGATGAAAAGACTATGTCAAAAACCGACGCTTAACATGAAATTTGAAACAGAAAACAACTAGAAATAGATACAGTGCGACTTCAAAAAAACGTGTGTTGCTGAGCAAGATAGCAAATATTTTGCTTTGCACGTCGTTAATGTCAATTCTGCTATTTAAACATTATTGCCCACAAAATGGACCTAATCACTGCGAATCAGGGTTTTAATGCTTCATCTCTGTTATGCACAATTAGGCATGCACCAAGACGAGAAGCCTCGTTGCATACCCGAAACTTTAGTCTCGATTAATCCCGACTTTCGATATGACTGAAATTTTTTCTATAGCTACTCTTACTACTTGTATAGAACCTTCTCATTTGCTAAGAAAATCGAGCAACCTGTTTTGTGTAGCAGAAATTTTTTCCGATTTTAATGAGATGGGTGCAGAAAGACTTTCCCTCTGTCACTGTGTTTGTGTCATTTTACATATAGTGATGGACTGGACTAAACCTGAATGCACTGAAGATAACTCCATAAGGTCTTACTTTTCAGAAAAGAATAGAAGGAATCTGTTGCTTTCAAGTTTCAAGGAATGTCAGCTTTCAGAAATTTTTGTAGAAAATTCTTAAAGATATTCCTGGTGATGGGGCGTAAGACGCAAGAAGCGTTAATTTTCTAGTATCTATTCTTTCGTCTCTCGTGACCTATACATGTATACTCTCTGAAAAAAAATGGTTCCTAACGAAACCCTTTTCTGCTTGAGGTTTCGAATTCGTTTCAAATGTAGAAACCTTTTGGTCTACGAAACCTAAAATGGTTTGGCTAAAACCTATTAAACCCTAAATG